TTTCACTTGTTCTTTCAAGAAAAAGCAAAACAGGAAAACACAGTCAAATGTTGTTTGAGACTACCAAGTTTCTAGGGCTGCCTTGTATTCTTAGTGATTAGAATGTCTGTTTAGACTCATTGTCCTTGCTTTTGTGTAGATCAAAAATAAATTTTAGAGATAGTCCAACATGTATCTGCCAAGTTCTTGCTGCAGGAGGCAGTTGACAAGTTCTGTGGTTTAACCAAGCAGTGCCAGTGATTTGGCATTTCTTGACTTTGGAGTACAGTATTTCCACTGGTTGAAATCCGATGCTGGATGCCTGGTAGGTAATATGCAAAATATTATTCGAAAGTTATGTATTTAACATTAGCAGCATTATGCATGAGTAAATGCCAGTGGTGGTTCCTTATTTCAAAAAACATTTGAGAAACGTGCTGAAGTTCCTTGGTTTCTGAACTCATTCTTCAGTACTAGATAACACCTTGCTGCTCTGCCACTTCTCTGGAACAGTATCTAACCCAGCCACGTCCTGTCTTGCTCCTGGCAAATCTCTGAATTACTAACTTGCCGCTATAATTAGCGTACTATATTAAGCTAGGGACAGTTCTTTTAATCTAATTGTAGAGTGATTCTGTTATGAAGTAGACAAACGTCCAAAGCCACTAGTGCCCAGGAATCGCTGATGTTGTAAGCTTTTAGGTATGATACTTGCCAGTGTTATCAGACTGGCACTGACAAAGCCCACCTTAAAATAGGCAGTAGTCACCTGAGCCTGGCAGTGCTATCCAACAGTTTTGACAAGAGGAGTTCTTCACATGAGGTGCGTTTATGTTATCCCTCAGGTAGCTAATAATAAGTGATGAAACGCTTCCATGACTTCCAGTGAGAAAAGCTTTCTGGTAAACATCAGGCTTGGAGTAATCTGCCAGTCAAGTCTACCACTTGGACCTGATGTGTTAAAAGTAGAATGATTGGTAGAATGTTTTTGAGAAACACTTTGTTTTTTAAATCCCAGATTTGCTATTGAGCGCTAGTTTATATGGAAATTGAGAGATCTAACAAACAACACTATTGCACAGTCTAGCAGTTGCGTAATGTTACCGATTTCTACTAGGTTTGTGGCTATCCTAATTGCTTTTCTCGCTTGTCAGGATGTATGTGTTTTTATTTAGCCATTTGATTCTTAATAAAATATGCACGTTATTCAAGTCACTGGAACATCCTGCAAACAAAGACATTTTTACTGCCATGAAGAAATATGGAAAACTATTATGTCAAAATTATGTCAAAATTTAGTCTCCTTATCAGTGTAGTTGAGTGACACCTTTCAGATTCTCTGTGGAGTTAATTTTCTATCTGCTATCCTCAGTTGAACATTATAAATACCTGAGATGAGGCCATCACAGAACTTTTTTCCCTAGGCTGGCATTAACGTTGGTGAGTTAAGATACTGACCTTCATGTCCATTCTTCAATGTTTTTGAGGGCTTTGATCTAGCTAACTGTATGTAGTGGGCACTTTTTTAATTGCGTGTCCACTGTTGCTTTAATTCATTGCCTCAGCATCTGAGGAAACAAACCTTGATACTTTCTTTGAGCACAGGTTTCATCGTATGTTGTTATGATCGTTATGCCAGTGGATAGTGCCAACAGACTTTTACTTTCTTCAAAAATAAGGACCATTCTCGATCTGTTCTCGAAACAAGTTATTTGGAGCTTTTTCTACGATTGTATGATGGATTTGTATTATGGTTTTTCATCATAGTGTGCAGGTAGAAAAGGTAATTTTAAATGAATTGGTTCGAGGATCTCGAGTAGCCTAGACATGGCAGCTCAGTGTTGTGCAACCCTGATTTATCTTGCTTCTTAGGAGAGTAAACTTTTGTTCTCTTGCAGCTGGGGTACTTCCATTCCTATGCCACCTCACTTAACCCTGCCTTTCATATATCTGTACTACAAGTTGTATCTTGTGAATCATTCTGTCTACATTCTCTTTTTCAAAAATGAAACCTAGATGCTTTGAAAAGCTTTAGCTGAGACTTGCCAAGTCTTCTTTTCTAACCTTGTTCTAATACGGAAAAGCTCAAATTA